AAAAAGTATGTGCTACGAAAACTACTTAAAGTGTAAAAGTATAAAGTAACCTTTAAAAAAAAAGCCAGATGCCACTATATGAATTGAAAGCACAATTTTTCGACTATTTCGAAAAATTATTTGAGATAGGGTCAAGGATGAGGGAGGTCTTGTCCATCTCCCGATACGCTCTCGCCTGTGTCCGACCTTTCAGACATTCCAACATCTTTTTCTGAATCCGACATTGTGGCATGGTATAGACAATTCACGTTTGAAGTTTGGAGAACACCTGCTTGCTTCTGATGATTTCCTTTGGCATCAGCACAAATTTGATGAATAGCTAACCAATGAGTGTTTGCATTATATGAGTCATTCAATTACACTAGTTTTCACTAGATTTGGATAGCGCCAATGAGCTGCATTGGATGGCGCACATGACGTGAAATAGATATTTATAAACAATAAACCGAAGCCATGAGTAACGAGTAACGTTTGTTTTATAAATGTAACGAATAGAAAGTACAGCTACTTGTGTAAAAATGTAATGAGTAGAAGTCAGAAGTAGGAAGTAGGAAGAAAAATAAGTAATGGAGTAAAGTATAAAAAGTGTACTTAAGTACAGTAAGTATTTGTACATCGTTACTTGACACCTCTGTATTGTGGTGTGTAAATGGTCGTAAGGAGCCAAGCTTGGCATGGTTAACTGATCCAAGCTCGGTCCGAACTCAGCACGGATCTGTTTCCAGAGGGTAGTGTAAATGAGGTCATTTTCACTTCTCAGGAAAAAAGTATGTCAGTCTTTAGGAAAAATTTTATCAGTTCTCAGATATTAGGAAAAATATTGTCAGTTCAAAGGTATTCAGAAAATGTCAGTTCTCACAAAAAAAGTTGCAAGTCCTCAGGAAAAATATTCTCAGGTTTCAGGTATTAGGAAAAACATAGTCAGTTCTAAGGTATTCAGAAAAAATGTGTCAGTCCTCAGGAAAAACGTCAGTTATCAGATATTAAGAAAAACATAGTCAGTTCTAAGGTATTAAGACAAACGCTTTCAGTTCTCAAGTAAAAGTTGTCAGTCTTTAGGAAAAACGTTGTCAGTTCTCAGATATTAGGAAAAACAGACATTTCTAGGCTATTCAGTACAAAGTTGTCAGTCCTCAGGAAAAACTTTAGTTTTCAGGTATTAGGAAAAAATAGACAGTTCTAAGGTATTAAGAAAAAAGTTTTTAATTCTCAAGAAAAGTTGTTAGTCCTTAGGAAAAACGTTGTCAATTCTCAGATAATAGGTAGAACGTTGTCAGTTCTAAGGAAAAAGGATGTCAGCTATTTTTTAAATTAAGTGAAAATGTTACCAACTGGGCAGATGTATGGGGTAAACAAAGTGAGATTCTCATCTAGAAACAAGTTTAATATTTTGGGTCTTATAAAGCTAACTATATAAATTTTGTTATTTACAATTTTTGCCATTGTCCTTCATTTCAGAATGAGCTGACCAATCCGGGTTGATCCGCAATGACTCATAGAAAAGGAAGGATTACGTAGGATACTAGTAGTGCTAGAACAAATGTGCCAGCAGGCTGCATCGTGGGACTAGGGGTATCCTACATGACCCTCCATTTACCACCTGCCATAGAGGTTTTTTACCAGCCAAAATGTTGTCACCCCTAATATAAAGGTGAACGACTCAGAAAACGATTTAAAATGGTTCTTTAACTTGTAAAGAATACACTTTTCTTATCGCCATTATACTGTCACAAGTACAGAGCAACGAAATTCACTTTCTGCATTTAAATCATCTCCTTGGGGAGCAGTGGGCTGCCAATGAGTGGTGCCCAGGGAGCAGTGTGGGGTTAGGGTCTTTGCTCAGGGACCCATTGTCTGTTGGAGTGGGGCTCGAACTCAGAACCTCTGGATTTTAAGCACAATGCCCTCACCAATAGGCCGCCGCTCCCTAGCCATACAAATTTAAATGGTTTTGTGTTATGGACTAACTAAACCTCATTTATGATGAGTGTTTGGAATGGAAGATGACAGAAACACAAACAGCCAATTCAACTCACATATGGTCTCATTTACTTAGTTAACATCCAGCTGTAAATCCAATTTACTGTATAACTGATTCTTTGTCACTGTTGGCATCCAGGTTCAATGTTTTGTTTTTTAAATATTTTTTTTTTTTTAATCACAATAATTTAGAAAATATTTTTTGGCATTTGTAAAAAATATTTTCAAGGCAAGCCTAATATTTTGACTGAATAATGCTTATATAAATAACAGCAATAACAACCATAACAAAGTTGACAGAATCCAAACCATATTTCCAATGGCATATCTAGGAAGTTGTAAGTGAGGGGGGACACATTTTTCAGAGTGATTTATTATGGTCTTGTATTCATGTTCACCTTTCCTGTGAAATATCTGTGAAAACCTTTTCCTAAAACCTCTGATGGGGTTTATTTAAACAATAAACTAACTAGCTAATGTAACAGAGGTAGCAACCTTATACATTTTTGTGAACTTGCTTAACATATTGATACATTGGCATGTTTGGCTTGGCTTTACCTTGGAATCCTGTCTATAATAACTTGAACAGGACTGGCTAGACAGAGAAGCCCTGTCTGATTTTCAGCCATTCCCTCCTTTAAATTTACTTTGTGAATAATTGTCAGCGTAAGAAGCAGGGAAAGTTGTTTCTGAGGGTTAAGTTTGTTTTTTTTTTACAATTAAAACTTAAAAAAACAGAAACTAAAAAAAAAAAAAGAATAAAAAACATGTATTTAAGATTTCTGTCTATCTTTTTGGAAAAACAAAACTTTGGGTACTCCCTTCTCTATCTCTTTTTCTTTTAACATACACTATATTGCCAAAAGTATTTGCTCACCCATCCAAATTATTGGAATCAGGTGTTCCAATCACTTCCATGGCCACAGGTGTATAAATTCAAGCACCTAGGCATGCAGACTGTTTTTACAAACATTTGTGAAAGAATGGGTCGCTCTCAGGAGCTCAGTGAATTCCAGCGTGGAACTGTGATAGGATGCCACCTGTGCAACAAATCCAGTCGTGAAATTTCCTCGCTCCTAAATATTCCACAGTCAACTGTCAGCTGTATTATAAGAAAATGGAAGTGTTTGGGAACGACAGCAACTCAGCCACGAAGTGGTAGGCCACGTAAACTGACGGAGCGGGGTCAGCGGATGCTGACGCGCATAGTGCGAAGAGGTCGCCAACTTTCTGCAGAGTCAATCACTACAGACCTCCAAACTTCATGTGGCCTTCAGATTAGCTCAAGAACAGTGCGCAGAGAGCTTCATGGAATGGGTTTCCATGGTCGAGCAGCTGCATCCAAGCCATACATCACCAAGTGCAATGCAAAGCGTCGGATGCGGTGGTGTAAAGCACGCCGCCACTGGACTCTAGAGCAGTGGAGACGCGTTCTCTGGAGTGACGAATCGCGCTTCTCCATCTGGCAATCTGATGGACGGGTCTGGGTTTGGCGGTTGCCAGGAGAACGGTACTTGTCTGACTGCATTGTGCCAAGTGTAAAGTTTGGTGGAGGGGGGATTATGGTGTGAGGTTGTTTTTCAGGAGCTGGGCTTGGCCCCTTAGTTCCAGTGAAAGGAACTCTGAATGCTTCAGCATACCAAGACATTTTGGACAATTCCATGCTCCCAACTTTGTGGGAACAGTTTGGAGCTGGCCCCTTCCTCTTCCAACATGACTGTGCACCAGTGCACAAAGCAAGGTCCATAAAGACATGGATGACAGAGTCTGGTGTGGATGAACTTGACTGGCCTGCACAGAGTCCTGACCTCAACCCGATAGAACACCTTTGGGATGAATTAGAGCGGAGACTGAGAGCCAGGCCTTCTCGTCCAACATCAGTGTGCGACCTCACAAATGCGCTTCTGGAAGAATGGTCAAAAATTCCCATAAACACACTCCTAAACCTTGTGGACAGCCTTCCCAGAAGAGTTGAAGCTGTTCTAGCTGCAAAGGGTGGACCGACGTCATATTGAACCCTATGGATTAGGAACGGGATGTCACTTAAGCTCATATGTGAGTCAAGGCAGGTGAGCAAATACTTTTGGCAATATAGTGTACATTCTGCACGTCACATATCCTAAACCTGTTACTGTGAGTCATGTTACCATTGCAACTATGAGTTTTGGTAGATGCACAGTAGGTCAATAAACAGACACGCTCATGTGCAGGCAGACCCCCACAAACACAGAGTGGGAAAAGACCACAAAAGCATGAATTTAGGGGCTATCTCTCCTCTCACTACCCTGGTCCATCGACCTTTATAGCTGCTCTCAGCTGGATACATGTCATCCACAACAGTCATGCCTGTTAGGGGAGAGTGAGGGCTGTGGAAGCTGCAAGGGAGGTGGAAATAAATAGAATGAGGAAAAAAGAGAGGAATGAAGAAAGAGCAGGATAGAGTGCAAAGAATGTGCCTTTGTGGAAACAAATGTAAGAACCCAAAGAATGCCATGGTCTGCATGAAGGATGACTTACTGGAAGTACATTTATTTAATTTTTTTCCTGGCCAATGTTGCTCTGGATAATAGTAAATGGCCTGTACTTCTATATTGCTTTTTTTTTTTACTCAGGAGACTTGACCAAAGTGCTTTACACTCAATTCATCCATTCACCCATTGACGCACTCATACACTGATGATGGCAAACTACATTCTAGCCACAGCTGCACTGGGGCTCACTGACAGAAGCGAGGCTGCCGTACACTGGCACCACCAGGCCCTCTGACCACCATCAGTAGACAATGCAGGTGAAGTGTCCTGCCTAATGAAACAATGACACTGAAAGCCAGAGCACAATCTTGATCAGTCAACCCCTTTGATTTCAGGGCAAACTCCTACATCCGACGCCACCGTCGCCCATGTAATAACTCCCTGGCGTATGGATCAGTAGTACACAGTGACCTCTTCTGTTTTTTATTTGGAGTCTCGCCTGCAGATCTGGTGCTAATCAAACATGTTTGTCCTCAACTTCTCTTTAAGGGGTCAGAGGTGATGCCATGTGCCAACGGCAATCTTCTTTTAATCCTCTCAAATCAGGTAAGGCAAACAAAAATCACTCTACCAGGAATTACATATGTACATATGCAAAAGCATGCACATTGTTCCAACATATAGCCTTTTGTTTAAATACAAAACAAGAACAAAACTTATTGAAGCATTTTCTAAATTACTACCAATCTCCAGCTTTCTTTGACATCTTCCTGCAAAAATTTTTTTCTTTTCTCAAAACTACTACAGCTGTGAATCAAATAGAAAAGAGAAAACATCCATCATTCATCAGATAATATGTTCTGAACCTTTTATTTTTCAATCACTCAAATGGTATATCAAGAAATGTTCAAGAAATCAGTTACTGAAAAGAAGATAAATGATATGACAAGATTAAATTTATGCTTAGATTTTTTCATAAGACATTTATGTTATTAAATGGTATGTGTTTATAAAAATCTGGTTGGCCACTCCTGGTCTAGTACAATAGAGCAACAAAAGAGCAGAAATTACTTCAGGGTGAGCTCTTGCCAAAAAACAAAAAGAAAGGAACTGTAAAAGTAAATAAACCTATTACTTTAATTGCATAAACATAAAAAAAACAAATAATCAGCAGCCCTCTTTGCTTTGAACAGGAGAAAACTATTCAAACACAAAAAGGCAGCTCACCCCTACAAGTTGTGTTAGACCGACATAAGTTTAGAGAGATAAACTATAGCTACACAAAATTCAAAATTTGTAAATAGTGTATTAAAATTATAAATATGGCAAAAAATGTTAACATTATATTCTTCAATACTATATTTTACTGATTGTGTTTTTCTTTGTTGTTTTTTTTTTCAAAGTGCAGGAAAGCAGGTTGAAACTTGATATTTAGGCCCTTAGGTGGCTTCAGATGGCTTTCAGTCAGTGAACTCAATTATCCACTCCATCCATAAAAAAATAAACAAAGAATGACTTAAAAATAACACCCATTTAGTGGCTCCAGAGTAACTTAGAAAGGAGAAAGGCAGATTGGAAAATGATCCTGTGGTCTGACCAATCAGATTTTAGAGTATATTTAAAACTTAAAGATGCAACCTCTTTTGGACCAAGCACCAGAGAGACAGCAATTCAGAAAGCTAAAAACTCAGTAAATGCCATTAGCCCAGTCTGCATTAGCGTAAATGTCATGTACAAAATTTATACCCATGGAAAAAGCACAGATCTAAGAGCTATATATTTAGAGGCTGTGATTGCCTCCTTCCCTTAATACAGCTCTTATCTTATTTCAGGAAGACTTTGACAGAAAAAAAAACAATGTTTTTAAACATTTATTCTGGCTTAGTGATTTAACTTTAGGGTTTTTGCGTGTGAGCCCAAAAGAAAAGTAATAAGTATTTTCAAAGTGATTAATTCATAAGAAAGTCTACATAATATTGCTGTTTTTCTTTTTAAACAAAATTTGTCAAAGAGTATAAAAAAATTTGCTTAAAGGTATAGTGAAGGATTTTCGTGAATTTTCGAAAAAGGACCGCCCTAAAATAAAATGCACATTCACAACCCTGTAGCCAGTCCCGTGAGGGAATGCCTATTACATGTGAGCATGCACAAGCCCATTTCTCCACAAGGAGGTGCAGGGACACAATAAGCGGTCGCTCTGATGGATCTCACCACACCCATATTTATGTATAAATAGTTTCCCCGCAAATAAGACTACTGGTACATTAAAAAAAAAATATTTCCTGGTTGTATGTTTGTGTGTGCTGCAGTGGAAATTTGGACATGTTTGTGGGTTAAATAAGGATCTGGGGCCACTGTATATCTACTAACAATGCAAATTACAAAATAAATATACTTATCATCCCTGGAAAGTTTTTTCTTATCTTCTCACACACTTTGTCGTTACTTTTTCTCTTGCGATTGTCTGTCATTTTCAAAGAACCATGCTAAGAAAGGCAAGCTTCAGTGACTGGCTGAAACCGTAGCTCACCACAAATATACGCCTGAAAGTGCGCATGCCTAAAAATATAGCTAATTATGGGAACGAACACGTTGGCCAGATTATATAAATATATCACCAGAATGATTGACAATTAGAAGGACCACTTATTTTGACGATCCACCTGGAAAAAGAAAATCCTGAATAATAAACTTTGTATATATCCAAGCCACCATGATTTATACTCAGCAGTACTTACTCATTTTTGACTAAAAATTACAAAATTGTTTTCTGTTTTATACAACATGCTTTGCCTTTTCAGAGATGCACTTGTCCTTGCACCTTAAATCAATAAAGGTGATAACAAGCAAATATTCAGTTTCATTACAAACATTATGGACAATGATAAAAATAAAAGTATACATTGTCTTGCACTATGTATGTGCTGTACTATTATAGTAGCACATTAAATAAAGCAGTTCTTACAGTTACACCTTTCAAGCGATCATGGTTAAATTTTGCAATACACCTTTAATGAGCATTTGCTTATACAGAAACACACGCAGCCAAAACAAATAAACAGCGTTAAAGTTGTTACAGTGTTGTCATTTCTAAATTCATTACAAACACTTTTATCTTCTCATAATTACCTTCAATAATAAGTTTTCAACCAGCTTCCTTTTTTTAGTGGCTCCTTCTTTCTAACTTTATTGCAAAAACCCATTGATCAAGTATTCATTGCAGAGCCATGAATACTCATTCATTTCAATTCCCACTTCCAGTAAGGCAATTACAGTCTTCCCGTCAAAAATAAGCACCAGTAGTTTGAAAGGGTCCAAGCTTTGCATATTAGGTGTTTAACTCTCCTGATATATCTTTTAAAAAATCCACTGCATGCCTACAAGTACATTTGTTTGCTTTTGGCCTTTTAAATATATATCATAGGAGATATAATAATTTTGTCAAAAAGTATTATTTCTCCTATGATCAAAATCATTAAGAGACATTGTAAAATAATTTTACTTAAATTTTCATACATTATGGGGAGGGTTTTGGGATCTTCCTCTTGTGTGAGAAATGTAGCACTATTGAATATCTATGTTGGCCATGAACCTGGAGGGTTAATATGGATACAAATAAAAACTTGTGTGTGTGTGTAGGGGGTGTAGATTGTTTTATAGGTATGTTCTATTGGCAGCAACCACACTTTTATCACCCTATTCTCTAATATGGTCCTTCTCAAACTTTTTTTTTTTCCTGAGTACCACCTAAAATGTATGTAGGATCTTCAAGTACCATCATAATGTCAGACAATCAAATTCTGCAATATATTTTATTTTTGCTGCGCATTTAATGAAGCATTGGGAAAGAAACACAATTGTTTATTGTTCATAATTTGAACATTTATTGTTTAGTATGCTTTACTTCCATGGCTACACACATTTTGTTGGAACTCCATCTATAAGTTAAATGTATGCTGTGGACTGCATTTTTTTTTTTTGTTCTGTGATGCAAAAAGATGTTTTCAGCAAACACAATATAGTTACTAAAATAACATAAACTAATCAGTAATGAGGAAATCAACTGGGCTGACCAATAGAAACTACAAGAACACTAGCAGCACAATATAACCATGCTATTAGTTATGTATGAGAGCTAACTATTTTTATGCATCAGAAACTACTCATATGGGTGTGTTTGACTCTGTGAACACACTTTTTAATGTCTGGCTCAGTAGATGACAACTTCAGGTTGAGATCATCTTCTGCATCTTGCATCTCTGTTAACATTTAACCAGGGTGAGAGGCCTTTCCCATACAAGTACATTGTAAGAGGCAACAGAAAGTACACAGCTTTTGCAGAAAGGGCAGGGTACTCACTTTATCTGAAGTCCAACCGTATTTGTCTTTTGAATCCAGATGCAAGTGTTCCATCACTGGGCAGTGCGAGTAACCTTTCCTGCTCTTCACCTGTGAGGTTTTCTGGCATGTTAGATGCCAGTGTCAAAAGGACGTGTCATCCAGCTGTTCTTTGTGATTGGAGGGAAATGTTCCAACAGCTGCTGCCACATTAAATGTGCGGGAGGATTTTTTCTCTGACACCATCTGCGATAACCAGGTCATCAGCAATGGAGCTTGACAAACTTGAGAAACATGAAACCTGCATTGACATGCAGGCAAAGCTAAGTTATCGGCACAATTATTGATTTCCACTTGTTAGCAGCTGACAGTCGGTGAAGTGAGGCGGGGAAAATTGATATTTTTCTGACCGGATTAAATGATAAGACCAAGAATGAACTGATGACTTGATATTTCCCTCTCTCCCTGAAACATTTGGGGGATCTAGCCCCTAGAACTGATCTCTGTCATACAGAACGGAGAAAATAATCTTCTTTCATACCTATGGTTCACTCCAGTCAAACTCCAGTTCCTCACGCAAAGACTACTTTAGGAGGATAATCCACACCTTAACCCATGCAGCTTGGGGTAAACCAGGTTGTCTAAGGAGGAGAAACAACACAGACATACATGGAATTTATGCCTCTACTGTTGGGGTAAGGCAGACAGAGTGTCGACCTGTCCAGTAAAAGCTCAGGCTCTGTAGAGAAAGGAAGAACTCTACTAAGCTGTGCTAATATCTCAAATTCTACTTACCAGACTTTCCCTTTCAACTAGACCTGTTTCTCACCAGACCTCTCTTTTAATTGATTCCGAAAAGGACACAGAGTTCATGGATGAGGGCTTTGCCAAGAGACTGGGCCTTGGATTTCTACCAGGACCTTCCTCCCACAACGTTCTGGCTTTAGGTGGACACCCCCTAAACCAATCACATTTGGTGTCATAGGAGGTTAGCCTTACTATTGGAGGTAATCATAATGAGAACTTCTCCTTCATGGTAATCGAGTTCCCTCAAGTTCCAGTTGTCTTGGGAATTACATGGGTTAAAAATCATTAACCTCAGATTGACTTGCAGAAGGTAGAAATCATGAGTTTGGCTCCAACATGCTCTGAGACCTGTTATCCCCAGTCTGCTCCACATCAAGTACAATTAGGGTTGAAGAGGAGATTTACCCAAATCTGTCTAAAGTTCCAACCGGTGTTCATCGTCCTTTTGACTCTCCCCAAGATCTTCTTCCTGGCACCACACCTCCTAGGGGAACGCTGTACTTCATCTCATTACCAGAAGCTCAGGCCATGAAGGTCTATATTGAGGATTCACTCAAGGCTGGTATAATTCATCCTTCTTCTTCTCCTGCTGGAGCTGGGTTCCTCTTTGTTGTCAAGAGGAACGGATCTCTTCACCCCTGTATCGATTACAGAGGACTAAATGAGATAACAATAAAAACCCATTGCCCCTTATTAACTCAGCCTTTGATTAGATCCAGGGAAGATCTTCAGTAAACTTGATCTCTACAATCCATGCCATTTAGTTTGCATCAGAGAAGGAGACGAGTGGACAACTGCTTTCATCACACCTACTGGACATTTCAAGTATCTGGTCATGCCATTCCTGTTTTCCAAAGCTGGTCAATTATGTTTTAAGAAACATGGCAGGGCAATATGTTTTTTTGTATTTTGTATGCATAGCTAAATATTGGAGGGATTTCTGCTCTTAACTGGTGATCTCTGTCAGCCTGTCCTCTGGATTTGATCCCCAAACTGTTGGCCAGACTGAGAGGACTAAACCAAACTCTGCACCATTTATGATTCAGATTCCACCAACTGGTCGCATTGTCTACCCTGGGTTGAACATGCTACTAACTCTCTGCCATCCAGAGTTACCGGTCTCTCCTCTTTTTATGTGGTCTTTGGATTTCAGACCAAATTTCCATCAGCCCAAATGACTGCAGTGATGTCCCAGAGTACGCCGAGGTGGTCGCAGAGGTATACCGCCCGTGTTATCCCGCAGGTATCCCACAGCAGACTAGTAAATTTACATAGTAATAACAGAAACGCATTTAAGATTTTTTGGGAAAACCACCACCAGTGAAGAAGGACACTAGTACTGCAACCACGACAACAGAGAGCAGCCAGAGTGAGGAGACTGTCAGAGCGCCTCAGATGGCAGTTGCACCAGCAGGCAGAGTCCCAGCACCTGCAGCCTAACCTAGAATGATTGGATTAGACAAGCCCTTCCAGCCAACGTCCAGTTTCAAATTTTAATTACTTTGCCCATGCCCCCTTAGAACAGGAAGTCTCATTTTTCACTGCTGTGGGTCCTGCCTTTACATTGTCACTCATAAAAGTTTTAATTTGTGTCTGAATGCAGGAAATAAGGTAATGATGGATCTGTCTGAGAAATGACTGCTGGCTCAACATTGCAGGGATGACAGAATGTAAAATGTGTACCTTTCCATTTGCATACATTTGCCTCCAAATCATATGTGCAAGATATGATTTAGTTCAAAATTGGAAAGAAATTATCTTTGGTATTACAAAGAACCCTGTTTGATTACATTGTATTTTGACTCAATTGTCCCTCCTAGAATATGTAAACAGCCATATCCCACTAATGAATCACGACATCTGTTCCAAATTGCGTGTTTCCACATGGATCATTGTTAAACAAGTTGGCATGAAAATTTGATGACATCACATTAGTCCCAACCCCTTCAAACAGGAATTCTAATATTTTACTGGTGGAGGTCCTCCCTTTACACGCTCACTCATGCAAGTTACAATCTGAGTCTAATGGCAGAGAACAAGGTGATGATAAATCCTGGTCTGAAAAATCAGTGCTCACTAAACTTTGTGGACTTGGCACAGTTTTGAATTTCCATCTCTCACCATTTACAAATGTTTGGATCTAAATTACATACGTATTATTGTATTTGCTTCAAAGTGGATATACGTAAATGAGCTGTTGGATTATATTTTTTGACTTGATTGTGCTCAGTAAAGTATGTAAATAACTATATATCCCAGATACTTTATCATATCTGCTCCAAAATGTGTGCGCCTACAAATTAAACACTGTTCAACAAATGCTTGTACAATTATTTTGTGATATTAGTTTCCTTGACTAACAACAGAAAGTGACATGCAGACTCAGCGATCCACAACCACTATAGGCCAAGTGACGCTGAGTTGCTAGGGCCCCCAAGCGCATCTTGCGGCTTCATTTTTATTGGAGTTTTGTTATTCTATTTTTTACTACTGGTCTTGCCTCCCTCTTACAAAATGGTGCCTTGAGCAGTAATCCATATTTTCCATATCAAAAACTATGGATGGCTTTCTACAAAAGTTTTCTTGAAGACCTCCTTTGCTGTAAAAAAATGTCCATATAACCTCTTTATTTCCATAGAGAGCCTTTTTCTGAATTGTTTTATAATGTTTTGAATTTAATAATGTTGTTTTACAATTGTATTGATTTAAATATACTGGAATAAATATGGTAAAATGTTCCCAACCTCAACCTGGATGTAAACTGTTGGTACAAATTTAACCTACTGTGTTCCTTAAAAAAACTTTACCTGTTAGAAATTGTCGCTATAGAAATTATTTAAAATAACAACTTACGGTAGCTTCAAAGAACATCAAATAACATTTGATTAGTGGTCTCCATGAAATGATTAAATTATAGTAGATCTGTGTAACTGGATCTTTACATTTAGGGCCGGATTTATCAAGATCCAATTTTGCGTGCAGTAATTTGCGCTGGCAAACTGAAATATTGCACGAGTGGCTAAACCATGGTTTGCGGGTGATTTAACAAGAGCGAATGTGTAACTGGTGGCAGGTGCAAAACTGTTGGAGACACCCTATTTAAATGATGGTTTTGCGCGTTTTGTGGTTTGTGGCAAAGTAGTTTGTAGTTTTTACAAACTAGTGCATTAAGAAATTTAAATCTTACAGTGACACCCCCACCCCCTCCAAAAAAAAAAAAAAAAATAATAAAATTAAAGTAAAAAAAAAAAAAAAAAAAAAAAAAAATATATATATATATATATATATATATATATACATACATAAAAAAAAAAAACTTTGGCAACCTTTATTCCCTAAGGTGGTATGTGGCTGAATTTCTACTTCACTGCAGTAAAAAAAAAACAGGTGTTTTGTATTGGCCTAGAGAAAAATGCACATACCAAATGGCTTACAGGAAGTGACTGTGGATGAGATTACTGCGCGTACGCATCCCCGCAGCATTGGCATGTTGCTCCACAGGCGCAGGGGGGATGTCGGGGTCTCCGGTAGGGCGTCAGGGCGACATGGCATTTAGAACGTCGGACAGCACTTCTGAAAAACGAGATTGGGAGATCCCAGCTCTCGCTGCAACCGTACGCTGGAATGACCCAGATGCAAAAAAGTGCAATGTTGCAAGGAGTTTTGTGATATCTGGTATTGCGTGGGTCCTCGGAGTTCCCCCAACAACTCCAAAATGGCAATGCTGGATAAACGATATGTTTTGATGATCGTTTCCTCGTTCATTCCAAAAATATTCACGCGGAGTGAAAAAATGCGTTCTCTGCGTCTCCTTGCTTCATTTCGATGTCTCCTTCTTGCGACAATAAACGCTGCCATGTGTGCGCAACTACGCATACAGACCATTTGCACCTTCTTTTGAAACATGTTAAATATAGAGTCAGATACCGTTAGCAAAATTGCTTTCAGGTTTAATAAATCACTTTGCGAGTGCTAAATTAATATATTTACATGTTCTCCTCCCACAAGACGCACTTTTGGTGTAAACGCCCCATATTTCATATTCATTGCAGAAAAAGTACTAAATGGATAAGAGGCGCTATTTAGCACGTTTTAAAGACCAAATCCTTTTAGCACGCTGTTGATAGATCAGTTTGTACATTTTTTAGCGTGCGCAGTGAAATAGCTCACGTTTTTATACACGCAAACCTTTGATAGATCCGGCCCTTAGTGTATCATAACTTTAGAGTAACCGAGTATAAAAAAAATAGGAAGATGGGTATCAGAACTGTTGAACTCAGCTTTAATTAAGCAAGAGCTGTCCTCAGCATCTTATTCTGTTGGCCTTATTGTTGTCAGACAGCATATTTCATGGTAAAATCCATTCAGTCCTCACACTCTAATTATGAAGGGGCACGGTGGGAGTAATGAATGTCACACGCAAACACCTACACAAGCACAGCCAAAACATATGCACACAAACTCTAAAGCATAACTCATGGGCAAGAAAAGAAATGTTGGGCGGGAGATCAGATTAGGGAAGCGTCTCTGATCGGTGGAATGAGAAGGCTAGGCTCATGTATCAACCAGCCATCTAAGCTGGCATATCCTGGCATAGCCAGAGCAACACTGAATGAAACACACACTTAAATACACCCATCTACTGGGCAGAAAGTTTTCTGAGTGATGTAATAGCGCATGAGGAAGGGAGAATCTCTAAACAAGTTGATATCTCTACACAGTTAAGTTTGTGCTCTGAAGACGAAATGAGTTTTAGCCATTGTTAACAATGTCCTAAAACCCCACCAAAAGTCTAATATTTAATTGTAACATCAGAAGTAGAAATGTATTGTTCAGACAGCATGTGAAATGTTATTTTTGTAACTCCTATTCCTGTTCTCCCTTTAACTTCAAGGAAAATTGATGGTGCGGCCAGATGGTTCGTCCCTCCATGTGTGGTTCATGTCAACACTTCCTGACCATTTCATGGGCTACAAGCAGACTCCAAGATCCACGGCTGCAGCTTGATTCAACCCCTCTCTGTTTTCTACCTCTTATTCTTTGCCCCTCATCCCTAACCACACCCTCCTCGCCCTTTCTCTTCTCTGCCTCGGCCTCTGTTTTAGCTCTCACCTCACATTTCAACAGTCAAAGCCCTCCCTAAGCCCAACATGGTGTCCCGCCTTCCCTTCTTAGTTTTTGTCATGATGTGCCAAGGCGCCCTGCTGGCAGACCCACCTCAATCCCGTCGTGAGATCCGCATTGAGGGGGACCTGGTGCTCGGTGGCCTTTTTCCAGTGCATGAGAAAGGCGCTGGAATTGAGGAGTGTGGACGTGTGAATGAGGACAGAGGGATCCAAAGGCTGGAGGCCATGCTATTTGCCATTGACAGAATCAACATGGACAACACCGTGCTACCAGGTGTCTCCCTGGGGGTGCATATTCTTGACACCTGCTCAAGAGATACGTATGCACTAGAACAGGTGGGTAAGCCCTAACATTTTATTGAAATCTGATTTTCTATGAATTTTGGATAATTCGTAGCATTGTTTGAATGGTGTTTTGGCCTTTATGTACTCCCTATATCTGTGGACTTTAGAGGTTTTGGCTTTATCAGAATGAAAAGAATCAAAATAATTAACCTGTATAAATGTGCAAATCTGTAGAACTGTGGTTGTGTTTGTGAATAATAGATGGTGTAACTCTAAAGACCTAGCCATAGAGAGAAACTCTGCATCAAGGACATTGAGCTGTTAGCAGTTAGCGTGAGGCCTTACTACCTGCCCCTGGAATTTACACACGTTATTGTGATAGCTTTGTATGTCCCCCCCTCTGCTAATGCGGCAACAGTCTGTAATGTCCTGCACACTACCACCAGCAGACTCCAAACACAGCACCCACAGGCTCTTTTTCTGATCTCTGGGGACTTCAACCATGTCTCCCTGTCTTCCACCCCTCCCATATTCACACAGTATGTTAACTGCCAGACCAGAGACAATAAAACACTGGAAGAGCTCTGTGCTCCTAATCAACAGGACATCAATAGTATCACAGACCTTACCTTCTTCAGCAACTGACTACTTCACACCTCCCAGCTCCAAACCATCAACCATAACCCCCCACCTGCGCCATCTTGTCGCTTTCAACAAAACAGGTGAACAATGAGCTGCACAAGATGAAGGTGCGAAAGGCTGCGGGTCCAGATGGCATCAGCTCCAGGCTTCTGAGATGTTGTGCAGGTGAACTATGTGGCATCTTGTGCTACACGTTGAACTTAATCCTTAGGCAAGGAGAAGTACCACAGCTGTGGAAGACCACTTGTGTGGTACCGATGCCAAAGATAAAACATGAAATGGACCTCAGCAGCTACAGGCTGGTAACGCTGACTTTACCTCTGAAGACCCTCAAACGGTTGGTCTAACATCATCTACGACCCCTGGTGAGGACTTCATTGAATCCACTGCAGTTTGCTTACTGTCATGGGAATGGGGCAGATGATGCCATCATCTTCCTCCTGCACCAAGCTCTGAGATACCTGGAAGCACTGTGAGGATCATGTTCTTGGATTTCTCCAGTGCTTTCAACACTATCCAGTCAGGCCTCCTGAGGGACAAGCTGGAGCTGTCAGGGGTGGACCAGCACATGTCTAAGTGGATTCTGGACTCCCTCACTGGCCGCCGACAGTGTGATTGTGAAGGCACAGGGCTGTGTCTCAGATAGGTTGGTTTGCAGTTCAGGGGTCCCACAGGGAACACCGTTCCCTCCATTCCCTCTTCACCCTTTACACTGCAGAGTTCTCCGTCAATTCCCCATGCTACCACCTCCAGAAGTTCGCTGACGATTCTGCGATAGGATGTCTGCCACAGTTGCCCTATTAAATCAAAATATGACAGGATTTGGTTGTGGTTTGAGGACCCAAATGCAGAGGCAGGGAGGCAGAGGTGAGTTTCTTGTTGATTTAATGAAATGTTAACAGACCACTGAAGAAGGAATCCAAATTCCAGAAATCAAGCATGGAAAAAGTAAAACAAACAAGAAACCATGGGACTTCAGGGAAAAAGCGATCATGACGAGGAAGACACGGTGAGACGTAGTTGGAGGAAGTTTGACGAGGAACCAGCACTGAGGAACTGCACAAGGAGTGTATTTATGGGAGAATGAACAAGGAGAGAACTAACGAGCAGATTAGGAGCAGGTGTGAACAGAGTAGACTGGAAAGGAGCTAGGGAAAAAGGAGAACACAAGAGGGCAACAGAGGTCAACAAATAAAAAGCTGAAAACTGAAAAATAACCAGAAAACACAACAAAATAAGAATTAAAACAATAAAACTATAAAACATGGAGCAAAGTAAAACATTTAAGATGCAAGTTGTACTGGAAAAATAAGCACTTTACTGATTTGTTGTTTCAATTAAAACTTATGAGTAAACTGCTATGGCACACTAATGCAAACCTTACTTGATCCAACCCAGGGGCTCTTTTCTGAAACACCCCTGGTGGAATAGGGTACCTTGCAGAAGCCGCACCACCTCCACAATCGGTGGAACCAAGGGGTAAAATTGGTTCACTCCACAAAAGGGCCCCCGTGCCTCAGTAGGACAAGCTAATGTGTAGTTTAAACCTCAAGGGAAAATTTGAATCCCCCTCCCATTCTTGCTATAAAGGTTCCGAGACCTCCACCTACTACCTATTGCCTTTATAAAGATAAAGGTGCCTTGTCAAGCATCCACAGGAAGGTAGGCAGGGATGAAAATCATTTCCTCCAACTGAGAGGTCATGGTTCTTGAAAACAGTGGCTTGCCCTCTGTAGCTTGGAGAAATGTTCCTGTCTCAAGCATACTGGGTCCGTTGCATGAATTAAGGGAATAGTGGAGTGGCAGATTGATATAAAAGTTGGTGGGGCTGCTGCCTTAAACCCTAAATACATCAAATCCGATTTTGTGTCCAATCCATCAGAAAATTATATTAATTCTTGGCAAATAATCATGTCAGCATTCCACTGAATGCATAAGCATCGCAGCTTGTGCGTGCAGTTGACTCTAACCTCTTCGACTGTTTCATGGTCCTACCTCCAGAACAACCAGCAGTTGCCTTCTCTACCTAGTCATTCTTCTACCTCCAGCAGTTAGCGTCTAGAGGCCAGCTCCAGCCTGCCTGAGGCTCTCCCTGCTTATTGTTCCTGACAGGCTTCTCATAAGTACTGCTATCCTCCTCAAAAGGAGAGGCAGTAGCCTCTCCCCCGAGTTCAGCATACTGCTTCTATAGAAATAGTATTCAATCATCCGCCACACTCTTAAATCTTTTAGAGTTAGCTTAGCTAGACTCGGTGAACTGTAGCCTCTCTCCACACTTGTGCTGCTTTCCTGACTGGCTTCTCTGATCTACCACTGCGCTCCCCCGCTCTCCTCTTGAGTTGCCTTATCCCCTCATTCTGCCGCATTGCCTGTACAGAGCCCTTCTCTGATCTACCCCTGTGGTTACTTAGCTCCAGAGGGTGGCACAACTAGCCCAGTTATCTCAGTTAAGGTGCTCTCAGTCCCAGTGTTCTTACACTGATTCCCCGTTTCTTCTGTCTCATCTCTGAATGCTGTTTTGAGGACTCTCACCAAAGCATATATGGACCAAGCAGAGGAGAAAGATACATGTGCATTAAAAAAAACAAACTCATCAACAATGTAAAGACCGGCGTTTAAAATCAGTGATCTTCATGATGAAAGAAATCAGCTGATTTCTGAGTACTGCCAATAAAAATCTACTAAAAATATAACATGCCTATGCCTTTTAAAGTGTTAAAAGTTCTAGACATACATTGATAATTGTTCAGAAGATAATAAACTGATTGCTGGATGTGACTTCCAGGCTCTGGAGTTTGTGAGAGCCTCTCTCACCAAGGTGGATGACACTGAGTTCATCTGTCCTGATGGATCATATGCTCTTCAAGATGACAGCCCACTTGCCATTGCAGGAGTCATCGGAGGATCTTATAGCAGTGTATCCATACAGGTAAAGCTCATATTTTGCACAGAGACATACTTTCAATAAACTGATTAACGTCCATGCCCCTTTGTATGCAACCTCCAGTTTTGGTCTGGTTTTTTTCTTTCATTTCCTTGTTTTGGCAGAGTATTCCTACTTAAGATGTGTTCTGGTTTCCTTGGGTCAACATTTATGTGATTTCATGTCAGTTAGTATGCACATGCATATTACTGAGAGTCAAGTTCAGTGAGCATGTACATCTGTGATTCCCTAGCTCCTGTTACTTTTGTCACAGAGCTGGTTAATTTACATAGTTTAGCATAAAACCTCTTTTTTTCTTGCTCCTCTGTGACTGCACAAAAGCTTCCTCCTATCAGTTCTTAAATCCCTAATCTGAGCAACTGTCTCTTGGTCGCCTCATCCTTTTCTTTTTCTAACTGTCTTTTCTGTTTTATGCATTGGTCTTTTCATGTACTTCAAATCTTTGGTTTCCTCTGTTTCATTCAGAGCTACAGTACCTTTTATATGCATCTGGATCCCCCCACCCCCATTATGACATCAGACCCCTTCTCCTCCCCTATCCTGGGGCACTCATTGTCAACACTTTGGCTCTGCCTCTTGTCCTTCATCACCCATTATTATCCCTTGTTTACTCTCACTTGATTCTTGTTGCCCCTTTTTTGTTTTTAACCTGTTTAAGGGTGTGACTGTGTTTCACAGGACCTTTCAGGTGCCTAGTTTCTGATCTCTATCCTTTAAAGCTTAGCTACGCCTCTCTACATGGCCAGTGACTTTCTTACTTCTTAATTAAATTATTATATTAATCTTAATTATATTATATATATAAAAATGTTTTATGTTAAGCCATGCAATTCAATACCTGAAAGGGATTTATGGTGCAGGCCTTTTTTTATTGTCATTTATTTGTGCATCTTAGTTTGTGCTGGCATTGTCGAGGTATTACCCATGCTGTATTTTCTTAGATTTATTTATAAACAGTCACATCATGTGTATTTCAAATTAGTTATAGTTATGCCTTATCACTTCTCTACTGCACTCATTTTTTTCCTTTTTAATTTTTTCTCACATTAAAAAGGCATGATAGTCTTCTAATACTGCCGCCTATGGCCAAAACACAGAACTGCAGCACTCTTCTGCTATTTGCTGTTGAGCACGCTCACACTTGACAATTATTTATTTATTTATTTTTTTACTTATTTCGCCTTCTGACTTCCTTACCAGTTTTGTTAATAACATATATAGAGCAAAATGAACTCTCAGTGTCTCCTCAGACGAGCCCTTTTGGTAGCTATGGTCAGTAGATAGTGGCACATCATTGGGTAAATTCAGTTATTCTCCTCATGGTCTCGTTTCGTGACAGCATAGTCAACATTATAATTGCTTTTAAACCATAAAACCTGTGTTGATAGCTGTAACTAGTGTGACCACAAATGTTTTCAAAGAATTTATGTTTGGATCTCCACTTGTGTGCCTTCTACTAAGCTATGTTATTAGTCTTAATAGGACTTTGACATGTTGTCAAAATAGCTCATCAAATGCACTATGAATGAGACATAAAGAACCCAGAGCCATGCACTCTGGAGGGATTAAACTGAAGAAAGCACAGAATTTCAGTTCAGTTTTTGTTGACTAGTGTGTAGTTTGATGTTATATTTACGAGTCTGTCAGCATGAATGTATGCAACATCTGTGTTTACATTGTTTGAATGTGATCATGCTCTAGGATTTATGGAGAGAACATGACTAGATTCCAATCATCATGAAAGGGAAATGTTATGCACACCATAAACCCTTAATGATGCCTGTGACTGTTTTATAGATGCAACCCTAGTCTTCGACATCTTAGATGCACTTTTAAGATATGTCCCCTCTACAAGATGCCTGAATAAAATGGCTTAGTCCCTCGAAAAGAGGTCTGATAAAGAACTCTTTATTAGATTCGGGTGTGTTGTTAAAAGAGTTCCTTTTATGTATGTTTACATACTTTGCTGCATATAAGGTGTGTTTTATATAGAGAATGAAATAACACCAAATGTAATTTTTTTATTTACAATTCAGAAGTAACTTAGGCAGCAATGTCAAATTATGGAGAAAACAGCGCACAAGCCAAGAAGCCTTGACAAATACAGTATAATATATTCTCAAAAAATTGATTCAATTTATACTTCAATCTTCATTTTCTTCTTTGTAGATGTATGTATCAAACAGATTTTTTGGGGGCAATTCTTTAAAGGAGCATTGTGCAGGTTTAAATGTTGCTGGGGGTTTTTTTCTCCCCATGCATAGCCTTAAAACTGCACCATATAAAAAAAGAATTTTCCTCTTTTGACCACAGTTGACTATACACTACATCAGTCAATTTTAGTAAGGAGTGATTTAGGTCATATTCACTGGGCATGTGTGTGGGTGTTACAACCTTACCCTAGCTTGCATTTTATGCCCGTATATATAAAAACAGGTATAAGCATCGGAAAATGAAAGGTATTTTGTAGAACAACATGTGTTATAATGTTTTTGAAATGTGTATTTCCCTTTAGAAATGCTTCCATCTGTGGCAGGATTTCATGTTGGCAAAATGGCTCACGACTCAAGTCAGCAAAGCCTGGTGGGCCGTACAAGGAGGCAAAAATAGAATTACCCATTAACAGTGCTTTTCAATTGTTTGCCAGTTCTGATTTATTATTTTGGATCTAATTATCTCTAGCAGAGATCTGAACGAAAATATTATATAACTTTGTTCGTAATGGATCAATATGTTATAGGATAAAAAAGTTGGTGTTTCTTGCGTAATAAGCCTAATTGGAAGCATGTGTTTGTGTTTGGAGGTATTTAGTGTGCTATAGTATGGCAGGGGTTGCATCTTGATGGGATAATTTAGCACTAAATTACTATATTTTCATACATATAATCATATTTAGGAATGGATGGACAATCTTACAACAAGGTTTAAGTATTTTAGAATAAGCTCAGGCTCCGACTGGTAATCTGTGATACCGGGCATTTGCCCGCCCCTCCTTAAATGATACCGGCCCCAACACTTACTCTCCAGCCGAAGCATCTACCTATGAAAGTAAATAACTCAAGGAGCTCAAGAAGTAATACAATATTAAATTCATAAATGATGCATGCAGTATAAATAGCCCTTCCTTGTCCTGCACATCCATGTGACAGTTGGCATATGGTGTCATTTTCTATTTCTTCAAACTGTAAGTGGGCCCTTGTAGACGGAAAAATGCCAGGGCCAAAAATGGTTCCCAGTCCGAAAAAGCCTACAGGTGTTAAGATAATTATTAGCTTAATAAATCCAAAAGTAGGTCCAGCCATAACTATTGTGTTCATTTTTGAAAGGTTCATTACGAAGTTAGCAAATTTTTATTAACGCAGAAAGCATCCTTATCTTGTAGTATGGAAGTAATGTTGTACTGTGCTGATACTGCGGTATTGTGACACACAACTTGCACTTATCTTTTGGAAAGCTATTTTATGGAAAGTTAATCAGAAATATAGCTTTGACTACTTTAATTTTCAGGAAGCATTCCAATTGGATATGATAAATAACAGATCTATAGTATGTATACTCTTTAAGATGACAGGCTAACGTCATATCACTATCAAGACTCAAATTAACACAGTTCAAGCAAAACAAAACTTAATATTGATTCTGTAGCTGTACTTAAAAAGCTGTATCTGAGTTTTCTTTTCTTATTGCTTTGACACCAAAAAAAAATCCTGCAAAAACTCTGTTGGTAAAATTGATTTTGCTCCATCCTCAGAGTACACAACATTAGGCACTTTGTGTAATGCACTTAAAGGACTCAGGCTCCGAAGGCTGTCACCAGAGCAGAGACACATTACAAACGAATATCGTTCAGAGCAACAAAAACAAGATATGTTGGTCCACAGCATATCATATCACATAACACGACAGGAGCTGCTACCTTTCACAGTAAAAACATCTCCAAGAAGTGGGAAGATTATGAGCATTCAATTTCTTATCTAAAGTTTCAGGTGGGTAAAGTACCCAATATTGTACTCAATTAAGACTCGCACCACTTTAATTCTTCAAGTAAAGGTAAAGAGTAGTCTGACAAGAGATAATTCAATTAAAAGCAAAGAGTATTTGATAAAAACACTATTCAAGTACTGAGTAATATTTGGATTATAACATCTAATTTGATGGTTAAAAATTATGTTGTTAGTCAGATGAATTCTGGTATTTTAAAGACTAAAATAGTAAAGTAACATACAACTTAATTACAAAGTAAAAAAAAAAACCTGAAGAAACACGTTTTAAAATCCACTGATTAAAACCAACACTTGCTTCCACTGATAACAATAATCCACTGTTTACTGCATATTCTTCTAATATCCAAATACCTCATGTTACTTGCAGTGTGTCTTATCGCTACTCCTACTTCTGTGTTAGTACTTAAGCACCAGTTAGTAGCTACCTCTGGTTTGTAATTCTCTCAGTGGATCCACTGTAAGTGAAAATAAGACAGAGCATGTGTGTTGCCTGTTCGCCATCAAATACTAGTTTAATCGTAATCCACAGCTCCAGTTTACCCATATTAAATCCATTCATCATATTACATAAAACAGAGTTAAAGAAAGACATACAATAAATATATTACCAATTGTAATTGGAATACCACTTATATAATTGAACTGAAGTTTTCAAATCAATTGAATAAACATAAGTGTGTAAAATACAGCATCAGAGGCACAGTGATAATTTAAAATTGTAAAACCATGTTACAATACATTTACAAAGCATTCTGTGAACTTCAGGATGGAACCCTTGAATATTTTTATTCCACAATCGGCCATCACTGGTATTATCTAAAATGGATTCAGAGTGACAGAAGCTCAGCCACAGAATATCATGCCATATAAAGTCCCAGCCAGGTTCAGTGAATGCTGTAGCTTATTTTGTGCAGAGGTTGCCAAATTTCTGCAGAGTCATTAGCCAAAAAACTCCACACCTGCTGTGGTCTTCTGATTATCTCAACAACAGGGAGTTGAGAGCATTTACAGAACAGGATTCCATGGCTTGGCAGTGATATCCAAGCCTAACATCAGCAAATCCATTCAAAGCAATGGATGCGGTGGTTCCTGACAATGGACCTTAAGAAGTACAGATTTGTTCTCTGGAGAGGTGAATCCTCACCTCTGCCTCACAATCCAGTGGACAAGTCTGGGTTTGGCAGTTGCCAGGACAACAGCACTTCCCTGTCTACAATGTGCCAAGTGTAGAGTTTAATGAATAGGGGATTAGAGCATGGGTTTGTTTTTAGTAGTTCAGCTCAACACCACAATCTAAGTAAAAAAAAAAAAATCTTGATGCTTCATGAACAATAAAATATTGACAGTTTTGTGCTCTGAACTTTATATGAACAGTCTGGAAAAGGCCCCTTTTTGTGTGTCCCAATTCCTCTTTGCATATAGGTGTAGTAGAAATGACAAGGTGTAGGCGGTATTAATCATAGCTCAAACCCAATACACCCTCTAGCCCAGCGGTCCCCAACCACCAGGCCGGTCCGTCGGTCATTTGGTACCGGGCCGCACAGAAAAAAGTAAATATATATATAATTTATCGACGATCAGAATCTGAGTGATGTTTTATTTTGAAAAATATAAAAAAATTGCGGTGTTCTCTCCTAATTACATCAGTCGGAGTATAAGGAGTATGAGGGTGACAATACACTCAAGGCCCGGGAGAGGGACTACGGCTGGTCTGCAGTAGGACAGCAGTAAATCGGAGAAGCCCACCAGGGAGTCAGAGCTAGAAGAGGCCCCGGAGCGGGGGAGAGAAGGCATCAGCCTGTCAGTGTCTGCGGTAGGACAAAGAAACAGTCCTTGTAAGCTAAATTAAAATGGCTTTTGTAATAGCCACCTCAAAACCTCTTAAGAGCATTGTCTACTTCATCCTTTGGCAAGAATATTTTCCCTATCTTCTGTTTTGATACTGATACTGAAAAAAAAAATGCCGTTGCAGTTCTTTCCACTCTCGCACTGATTTCCTACTGCATACCTAACCTCTGTACTCAACGCCTAAAGGCTGATTTATACTGAGAAACCAGGTCGACTGCGTGTGTGTCGCATGTGACGCAGAAATGCCCCCCGCACCTTCCTCAGACACTCTGGTGCACCTCTCCAGAATTGTAGGTGACCGCAGACAGTGTCGCAGACATCAGGCATCTGATTGGTCAAATCTGCATCCACTCTACACAATCTATATTTCCTGTTTGGTACCTTACCAGCTTGTTTTGTTTGTATGACCACCATTTTGGAAATTGACTCATGAATATGGACCAGCTAGAAGAGCAAGGTGCGCTGGGTCTGGATCCATGCTCTTTTTCGCCCCTCCATTGTCACACACACTTGCCCCTTGCGTTTTTCCACTTCCTTGGCCGTATCTAGACCCCCAGTTAGTTTGTGATTGTCCCATTTGCTTTGTGGCTTGGAATAACATAGCGCAGACCAAGCTTCAAAACTGAGCATAAATCAAAAATATCTGCGTCATACCTGCGACAAGCTCACTGCGACACACTGCTGCGGTAGTATAACCAGCCCTTAAGGCTGTGTTTGGCTTTCAAAAGCAAAAACAATAAAAATACAAAACTGTGTGTTGTCTCCTGCCCTTACCCGCCAAGTCAGCATAGAAAATTCCTTGATAAATACCCCCTATCCCTTGTTATGTCCACTACCCCTGCCTACAGTACGTGCAAAGAGGTATTAGAACACCATAACCTTCATGGAAACATGCTAAATTTATGGGGTTAAAGAGCTAAGGTTGCATTCAGACTGGGCCTAAGACAATAAAATCAAAGTTACTGTCCATTCATCTATCCATTTTCTTCCGCTTTATCTGTGGCCAGGTCGTGGAGGCAGCATTCTATGCAGTGATGCCCAGATTTCCCGATCCACACACACCTCCTCCAGCTGCTCTGGGGGCACCCCGAGGCGACACCAGCTCAGACACATAGTCCCTCCAATTTATCCTGGTGCTTCCACAAGGCCTCCTTTTAATTAAAATTAAAATTAATTTTGCTATCCTTGTTTCATGAAAAATTATTCTTTGGGAAAATCTGAACTGCTGTTGTTTGTTGTTTAGTAGAACACAACTGAAAAGATATACTGGCTTGATCATTACATCTCCCAAATATCTTTTATGTTATTAAAAATATACAAATAGTGAGAAATCATGGAAATGGATTGTGTTAAATTCTTGTAATTCACTTTCATTTACTATTTCTTTCCATGCAGGTTGCCAATCTTCTCAGGCTCTTTCAGATCCCTCAGATAAGCTATGCTTCAACGAGTGCCAAGCTCAGTGATAAGACCCGCTATGATTACTTTGCCCGCACTGTACCACCTGACTTCTACCAGGCCAAAGCCATGGCAGAGATTCTCCGGTTCTTTAACTGGACATACGTGTCCACCGTAGCATCAGAGGGTGATTATGGAGAAACTGGTATAGAGGCATTCGAACAAGAAGCACGAATGAGGAACATCTGCATTGCTACTTCTGAGAAGGTAATAAAAAAGGAGAATTTGATTATGATCAGAATCTTTCTTCATCATTGCAGCAAGAAAAAAAAAGATCATTGAGGTGCTGCATTTACAAGTCTAATATTTTTTTCTTTATGGCTTATTTCATGGTACTGAATTGGGGGTAATATTAAAGTGCTACAAGTGCTGTGGAAAAACATAAAAAGCTTATCTCTATAAATTCATTTTAAGTGCTTTCACAGTCCAATTTCCATGCCATTTTCAGAAGATTTATATGAAGGTGTGAGACAAGTACAGATTGCATGTGACACACGTTAGTGTGGGAAAACCATTTGTGTTCTTCATTCAATAATCCTACATCTTTTTCCCAGGTGGGACGCTCAAATGCTAAGAAGTCTTACGAGGCAGTGATTCGTCAGCTCCTCCAGAAGCCAAATGCTCACGTGGCCGTCCTTTTTCTGCGAAGTGATGATGCCAGAGAGCTGATTTCGGCTGCTGCCCGACTTAATGCCTCCTTCATCTGGGTGGCTAGTGATGGCTGGGGTGCACAAGAGAGCATTGTCAAGGGAAATGAGATTACTGCTGAAGGAGCTATTACACTTGAACTAGAGGCAAATCCCATACCAGAATTCAACCATTACTTCCTAAGTCTGGACCCTATCAAAAACCACCGGAATCCCTGGTTTAAGGACTTCTGGGAACAGAGGTTCCAGTGCTCTTTGGGAGCCAAAAGCTTAGGATTAGGGGGAACACCTCTTCCACCATGTGACAAGAACTTGCTGATGGATAAAAGATATTTCGAACCAGAGTCCAAGATCATGTTTGTGGTGAATGCAGTATATGCCATGGCCCGTGCCCTACACAACATGCAGCGGAGCCTGTGCCTCAACACCACCAAACTGTGTGACAGCATGAAGGCCCTGGATGGGCGCAGACTCTACAGGGATTACATTCTTAATGTCAGCTTCACAGGTAAGTGAGCAAAAGTGTGGTGAAGAGAGTGTTGGGTTCCAGATAAGGTGCTGAGAGGGGATGAAGCGCAAAGAAAAGTAAATGTTGGAGAGGACGGATACAAGATAAGAAGAAATAGACAGGAATGTGAGTGCTGCGTCTGCTTAACAGTCTCCTAATGAACACATGGCTGTTGTCCATCTTCTAAGCCACAGAACATTAAAATTACTGAAACAAATCCTCTTAATTGCTATGTATTGTCTGAGCCAGCTTGCCATTGACACCTTTTACCCATGTGTAATTCATACAACACTACAAAGTTGCTTTGAGGGGAGAGCTGCAGTTAATCTGAGCCATATTCTTTTCTCACACACTAATGAGATTGTATGTGTGTTAATATAGCTCCTATAGCATGCTGCCTGCCTTCCTGTCAGTCTCTGAAGAGTTTAGAGAAAGAAGACAGAGGATTGGCTTGACTGACAGATCACGCACAAAGGAAGTGTTATAAATAAACTGGTGCATCTCTGGGACTGACACAGGTTTAGAGGTGCTTATTCCTCCACCAACCGTGACCAGAAGCAGACTTCAAAACACCCAGGCAAACAAAATTAACACAGCAGCTTTGCCATGGGACATTGGGGAGAGTGAGCTGGAGGGATGGAAAGAGGACGAGGGAATGGCATCATCCATGAAGGTGGGGGGAGAGAGAAGGTGCTTGCAGATAAGACTGACAGGCAGTCTAAAATGAGAAGACTGAGTTTAGGGTAAAGTGAAAGGGAATAAGTGAGAAAAAATAGTATAAAGAGTAGCACGGAATGAACAAGCAAGAGCTGCAGCAGTTCCTGAGTGGGACAGCATGCGTCAGCAAAGGAAAAGGATTTAATTTGAATTCTCTTGTGTTGAAAATGGGACTAGATAAAATAAAGACTCATTAAACAGATAAAGTTCACAAAATCCTTTTAAAAAAGGGTTCATATTTTCTACTGTAAAGAGTTGTTGGTGATGTTCATTGGAAAACCCCATTCATATTGGGGCAAATTTTAATTTCCCCAATATTTATTTTCATTTCCATATTTATAAAGCACATTAAATGAAAACATGCAAACAGAGAACAAAAATAATTTATTCAGTTTAAAAAAATATGTGCTAAACAGATATTAAAATCTTTCTGAACAAAGGCTGACACTTAATAGCTCACTTAAATGATGGCACAGAGGGACAGAGAAAGTACATTTGAGACCATGGGTGCCTCCACCAGAAATGGCCTCGTCTCCACTGCCTTTAAGCTTAGTGCTTGAACAGCCAATAGAAGCTGACTGGATGACAAGGACCTGCCATGCACACAAAAACTGAAACATTCAGAAACATAAAAAGGTTTGAGGCATTTGATACATTGTAAAAATAATAGTAAATGTTTTAAAATCTATTTTAAAATGAAGGCACTGATTTCTGGATGGCCTGAAGGCAATTTAGGGTCAAGACAATAAAAAAAGCTCAACTTTAGCTAAAAAAAAAACTACTTAACATTTTCATTTATCATTATAGTGTCTTTGTCAGGTAGACAACTTCCAGACAAAAGAATATAATGATCCACTCACCTGCTTTGAGGACAACATTTACAATCTTAGCAGGGTAGCAAAATAAAATAAAATATTGCTGCAAAGTTTGAATCAGTCTATCATTTTCTTGGTTGTTTTTTGGCTATTTCTCATCTGAATAGTTGATATGCCAATAAATGTGAGCGAAGACTATATAGATTTTGAGGAAAAATAATTTTTGAAAAAAAAAATTTTACGTTTTCTAAATTAAATTTATTTCTAGAGGTGCTATTGACATGACATTTTTACCAGACGTCGGAAACAATCCATGCAATCTATACATGTAAACAAATCAAGCCATAGATGTCCAGAAATTTAGTTATGTGCCAAAGTGAAATGGCACGGGAAAGAGTATTGAATATACTTACTGAAATTTTAATTAATGGTTTGATTTTGGCCAATTATTCCTTACAAAAAGTTTTCAAATCTTGTAGGCTTTGTGGGCCTCTTATATGAACTCCAATCTTTATTTCTTTCCATTGACCTTCTATTGGATTCAAGTCAGGCGATTGACTGTTCAGTTCTAGCAGCTTTATTTTCTTTCTCTAAAACCAATTGTGAGTTTCCTTGGCTTTTTGGAGTCATTGTCTTGCTGAAATGTCCACCCACGTTTCATCTTGATCATCTTCGTAGATTGCAGCAGATTTTTATCAAGAATGTCTGTGGACATTTTTCCAATCCTCCTTCCTTCAATAATTTGAAGTTTTTCAGTACCATATGCTTACCATATGCTTTTAATATGGTGATGTGCAGTGCCATTTGACCTCCAAACATGATGTGGGTTATCCAAAGAGTTCAATTTTGGTCTCATATGACCATACTATATTCTCCCAGAATTTCACAGGCTTGTTTAAATGTTGTGCAGCAAAATATGAGCTTCAACATGCTTTTTTTTCAGCAGTGGAGAAAATCTTGGTGAGCGTGCATACAGGCCATTTCGATTCAATTCAATTTCAATTCAGTTTATTCATAAAGCGCCAATTCACAACACATGCCATCTCAAGGTACTTTACAGATAAAATTCAACCAGATCATACAATCAGATTGATTCAAAGTTTTGATCAGTTGATCGTATCCACTCATTGACTCGAAGGCAGTCCCTCACACCAAGCCTGCTTGTAGTGAGTGGAGAGGAAAAACTCCTAAAAAGAAGAAACTTCAAGCAGAACCAGGCTCAGTGTAAGCGGCCATCTGGGGTTCAAGGAGACAGTAATGCGGTTGAGTGAATTACATATATTTTTCTTTGAAAACATTTTACCTGCTAATTCTAGGTCTTTCTGAAGCTCTCCACAAGTGGTCTTTGGCTCTTGGACAACTCTTCTGATTATTCTTTTCACTCCTCTGTCGGAAATCTTGCGAAAGCAGCTGATCAGGGTCGGTTTATTGTTAGATTATGTTCTTCCCACTTCCGGATTATGGCCCCAACAGTGCTTATGGGAACATTCAGAAGGTTAGAAATCCTTCTGTAACAATGTCATCATTATGAATTGCAACAATAAGGGTTGTGAAGGTCTTGAGAAAGCTCTTCGCTTTTACCCAACATGGGATGTTTTGCACCCCCCTTTCTTCAGGTGTACAATACCTTTTTCCTGTGCCATTTTACATTACACATAACTCAACTTCTGGAGATACTGTAACTAAGGCAAAAGTTATTTCCACCTTGACAAGAAATTACAAAACATTTTTAATCTGTAATACTGTTAAAAGGGAGAAACTTTTAAAGGTATAGATTATTGTTTTTATGGAACTATAGGTAATAAATACCTAAATCACTTTAAAAATAAATATGCACACACAGGGCCATCCTCCCTGCTCTTCTGCCATTGTGTGAAAGAATCTTCCAAATACAATCTGGTATATTTTCTTTCTCCTGAGGACTTCCTCTCATAAACTCATCACTTCTTGCGACTCTCAGCCATATTTAAAGTATACAGTGGAAGCAATGGAGCTAGAATAATTGAATGAATCTGAAGCACTCTGGATACATAAACATTAGAAGTGCACAAGCACATAGGAGGAAACAAGTATGCCACAATGTCTGGCATGTCGGATAACCAATAGGTAAGATGATGACTTAAATTCAACTCTAAATTTGCAGCAAATGCATAGGGCAAGGATACTAAAAGATGCTTAATTTAGTGGGTTGGAAGATATCAAGAACAGGAAGCATGACTTTTGTTACTTTTCCACCACTTTTCTTTGACACATTCCCATTGTACAGTCTCTTTTGTTAGCTCTCTGTCATGAGATGCATAATTTCATTCAGAGAATCTGTAACAAAAAGAGCTTGATTATGATTCATGTAAAGTGAGCATGGTAGGACAGCATTTATTTTCAACTGTTGGTCGCCCCTGAATGACTCATTCTCACTGCTCTGTATAGCTGAAACAGCCAGTGAAAAAGAAGGTGAGGTCTGTTGAAGTTTAGCTGCAGCATCAACATCCGCAGTGCTCTCAGTCAGAACTGAAGAATCAGAACTCTTCAGCGCTTTATACATCTGATGCAGATATGCATGGTGATTGCACAGTTTTAAATAATACTTTAAAGTTTGTCTCCATATATGCTGAAAGATGCTTTTATTACATTTATCTTTACAGCACAACTGAAGATGTATTTCACTGTAATGAGGTTGTTTTGTTGTGTTTCACTGACAGTGTATGTGACTCACTGATGCTGCATGTTGTTTGGTTAGGAGAGTGTTTTCATTCACAGCTCTCTTCATCTAGTCTCATCGAGCTAGTTGCTATGGTAATAAAGCCGACTATTGCCAATTGTTGAGGTGATCTGGTAGATCACGGGAACCACTCCATAAGAACTAGCAGCAGACAGTGGAGCAGATTTGTGAGCTTTGTGCATTTTTTATAAGCACTTGTTACATGAGTCAAACAAAGCACATAAACATGCGCTCCAAAGACACAGACTGGAATCTGCGAAACAGTCAGCTATTTTTTTTTTTAAGGGAGGCAACTTGAAATGCTTGCTTTTTTTCTGCCAGTATGAAATTGCAGACACCCCCAACCCACACACTTCTAAGAGCCATCATTCAACTCCCACCCACCTCCGTGATCTGCAGCAAACAGATCAGTATATACACACATGCATGCGGTCTGTTCAAATACTGGTGATAGATGTGATATTCCCCTTTCTCTGCACAGTGTGTGCACGCATGTGTGCGTACATGTGTGTTGGGGGGGGTACCTCTGTGTTAGCAGAGGCGGTGTGCCTTTAGGGCCATATTGAGCACAGCTTTCTGCTACGTTCAGATGCAAGTGAACAACCTTCACTCATTCTCCGCCTTGTTTTCACTTCACACTCCGTCTCTTAACCTCCATCTTTTTGTCACTCTCTCTGGCTCTATCCTTCCTTTTCCTTCCTCTTTCGCTCTATCTTCTTTCCCATGTCTCACCCAGAAAACATCCCACT